TTGAAATTATTGGGACTTCTGCATATGGAATTACTGCAGGATTGGGTGCAATTACATTTGAATGTAGATTAACCAAAGAAGAGGAAGTCAGTTATTAATTCATATTAAAATGAACTATGCTGACATTCTTTTAATCAGTCGTATCCTATGATGGTCACAAACTATTTTTTTTTCTAAATTCCAAGATTCGAGGAGACAAAAATCTAGATGGTTTTTTTAATTTCAAAGTGTTATTTAAAATGATTTCTGATAGAGATTTGAAAAAGAATGCATTACAGATAAAATGTCTGCATGGATCACTAGCCCTCTACCTGAGAAGAGATGTAAATGTAAAATTAATTCTCTCCTGCTCCCTCATTTCCCACTAAGGTGAGAAAGAACCTGTATTAAAGATACAACAGCACTTTTTCCTGATTCCTCCACAGAATTGTATTGCACTGTGCTTGAGAGAAAGCTATTTTGGGCCAATGTGTGTCTTTAGTGGCTTTAAGGAATACAATGAAGGAATAAAAGTTAATAGATTCCCCTCCCTCTTGTCCTATAAGTAGAAGCAGCAGGGGTGGTCCTCAAGCCATCGTCCTCATAGACAGATGTTCTAGTCCAAGCTGCATTAGTGGAAACACTGTGGAAACACCTTCAATGTACATTTTAAAAATGACACCTACAAAAGAGTAATATGTACAAAAAAAAGCCAGTTGGTTATTAAAACAAGCACCATCGACCTTTTCATACATGATCCTCTTGTTATCGCTAGCATATACCACCTTTCCTGAGGTGATTTCTGAAATTCTAAAAATCTTGTGAACTGTTAACACCTTCTGTATCAATCCCATAGTACCATTAATGATACTCTTTTATTTTCTTGTAAGGTAATTCTTTCTTATTTCATTTGAACAATTTATTCTGCATTGTTAGTGCTACACTATTTGGACATTAAGGCTAATTGAACATTTCCTATTCTAGTTGGTGTTTCCATATTTGTTTTCTAGTAGTGTAGTATAATGAATGTATGTAATGCCTAATCCATTAATTGTAACAGAGAAATAGACTGCATGTGAGAAGAATGCAGAAAAATAACATTACTCATCATCTCTTTCCAGCTGGATCCTGACGCTAGTGTTGTTCTCAAAGAACTTCAGGTGAAACTCAGTAGCGTACTGGATGAGCTCAGCATTGCCTATGGTGCAAGGTAATAAACGTACTTAAAGAATTTGTGCTACAGTGATGGCAACCATTAAAAATACTCCATTGTGCCTCAAACCAGGCAGATGTGCATAGCCAAAAGCCAATCCATTGACTAGATTGGGTGAGTGTATGTCTTTTCACATACAGCTTGCTCCAGTGTAGCAAGATCCACTGCATGAATATGTGTGTATCTCTGACTGGCTGGCTGTACGTTTTGGAAAATACAGCAGTATCCTCACCTCCAAAGGACACTAAAACTAATGTTTGGGCATGAATGGGTTATAGTGACACAGCTGGAAATTTTATTTTCTGCTTTTGGAAGATAAAAATGGCTCGATTTGTTCTTAACTAATACAACGTTCAACCTCTCTTTTACTGTGTGTGTGTTTTGATTTCCTGAGACTGACAGCTTTGTCCAGTAGCCTGCCCCACTCAGGTAGCCTGTCTGAATTTACCCTTCTTCAAATGGTCACTGTGAAGCCCTCTTGAGTCATTTGCTCTGTCAGTGTCTGGTCTGCTGGAATCAGCTAGTGAGCCTTACTCTTGAATCAGTGTGCATGTCGCTGGCCAGAATGCGGTTTGCACTGTACCAGCAACATATCTGAGTCTTGCTATTGGAAGTAAAAATCATAGGACTGTTTTTGCCTTTGCTTGAAAAGGAATATAAGAGAGAGGGATTGTTCAGGGAATCTGCAACCGTGGGAGGCAGGTGAAAGTTTTAGTTTCTCAGTAACAGTTAATGCCATATTCATACAACCTGTGCAAACTGTTTTCCTTTTCGGTGTATGGCTTCATTAACTATGGAAAAGGATGGTTTGAATAAATACAATTGAGGAAGAGTCATGGCTGCCTCAGATCATTAATAGGCTGAGACAACCCAAATAATAGGGAAAATTAAGTGACTTAGTAAGAAGGGGAAATGTCAGCCAAGAATTACATGGTGGATAATACCTGTACTAGCTCCCTGTGGTCTCTTCTCTCCCTGTCTTAAAAGGTCACTGTTAACTAGATGAAGCACTGTGTTTGATTTTTCCTAAAATTGGTATAATCTTCTGGGTGAAATAGTTTTTTAATTTAAAGAAAATATCTACCACTTCATTAAGATAAGAATGAGTGGTCATAGGGACCTATATTTTTCACTCTTCTGCAGAAAAGCCAGGAGAATTAGCACAAGTCATCCAACAGCCCTCATTCCCATTGCCAAAGTTGGTCAAAATGTTCCCAATTTGTCTTTGTGTGTTTCTCATGTGCTTTCTTCTCCCTTAAATGTGTCCATAGTTTGTGCCTGTGACACCCTCTAACCAAAAATCGGCACAAGGGCACCCAGATAGCTTCATAGCCTTACTCTGAAGAAAACCAAGTAAAACTTCTCTAGGAGGCCTTCTGCCATTTCTGAGTCTTATCTCATTCTTTTAGAGGCTGCCCATGCGGCCATGCTGAGTTAATAAGTATGGCAGCAGTTTGCTCAGGATGGAGTTGTCTATAGCACCAAGCAGCGAACATTGCCTCAACTAATTGTGGTTGAACAAGATGCAGCAGTTTGGGTACTAGAGTAGACCCACTGCCTGCATAATCTGAATGAGAAAAGAGGTGGCTTTAAGAGCAGCACTGGCAGCCAGAAGCATTCTGAGGCTGAACTGGGAAAGCAACTGTGCCATGCATTGGTTTTTGGGCTCCCCTTTATTCATTTCAAAGTTGGTTTCTGAGTAGGTGTCACTGGAAAAGCCTTCTGTCTTCTTGGCAATCAGATGTGTTCATGTGGTTTTTTGTGTTGGGTTTTTGTGATGAAGCACAATAGCTGGGAGTTTTCAGTCTGTTTTCACTTAGCTTGTTTGTTCTTTTACTAATTGTTTTTTGTAGATTCTTTAGCTACAGGCTTATCTATTCAATTTGTCTATGAATGCATTTAGAATTGATTATCATATTTATTGCCCCTGTGGTACTTGAGGTACTTTTACTTCTCAGATGCTTCTGAATACTCAGTTTTGCACTGTTTAAATGTACTAATCTATGTCCTCACTATGGCCATACTGCTCCTGTGTCACTCCTAGATTTTCTGTCAGGCAGATGCTGCTATATCGGAAGAAAATTGAACCTCTAGAAAAACAAGAAATGAACTAAATCAGTAAACTCACTTTGTGGGGAATTGAGAACAACTTCCACTCCCACACTTGTAAACAGAACTAATTTATACAGACCTATCTAGGGTGACCACATGTCCCGATTTTATAGGGACAGTCCCAATTTTTGGGTCTTTTTCTTTTATAGGATCCTATTACCCCCCACCCCTGTCCCGATTTTTCACATTTGCTGTCTGGTCACCCTAGACCTATCAGTCCCCCATCTCCTCTAGTTTTTCAGCTGTGTGGAAATCAGTTCTTCAGAATAGAAAATCTGTTCCTACTTTTGAATTTAAAATGCCAAATATTCCCATAAAATGCATCTGGCATAAAGGTTTATGAAGCAGTCCAAATATTTTTACTCTCTTAACTAGGTACAAAGTAGTAAACAAAACTTTGCTGTGTGGGAACATGAGTCATGACAAGAAAAAGTCTAGTTTAGTCAACTAGGACAAATTGGTAGAAGTCTTGTTATTTTCTATCTTCAAGGAGGATATTGACACCAAATGAATATAAAATTTACCAAAAAGAGAGAATATTTGATAACACCCCCTTTAAAAATACACGTAAATAGAACTTATGTCTGTAATCCCCTCATACCAAAACTAAAAGCAGGAATAATTGTGCTGGCTAAAACTGATGTCTATCTTAACAGCCAGTCATACCTCAGTAAAGTCTCTGATTCACCTTCTTATTGTGTAATTCCTATCAGAAAATAGTTACTAGGACTCCTGTAGGGATAGGGACAATGTAAAAGGAAAACAAAACACAAACGTCAATGGTAAGTATATTATTTGGCCTTATACGAACTATAAATCTTTAGAAATGGTTATTTTCAGTTTCTAAATCATACAGTGCCTTAAGCACGTGGGCTTCATATCTGCTCACAAATGATTTTGTGTTCATCGATGAAGTTGATGGAGCAGAATCTAAATAATCATCTTCTGTCGTATAATTCCTCCACTCTCTTTTTTTCTCTTTAGTTTCCAGCTTGTTATTGAGGAGTGTGTGAGACAGATGAGCTTTGAGCTAAATCAGATGAGAGGAAATGGAAACGTATCGGCCAATAAGAACAATGCAGCTATCGATGCTGAGATTGTGTTGCGACCTCTCATGGATTTTCTGGACAAAATGTAAGTGAGGAGTAAAAAGGAGTAATTTTAAATTGCTGGATGCCAAGGAATTTTACTTTTAAAAATTACTAAAAATATTAGGTCCTATTTGGCATATCATAGATAAGCTAAAAAGTTTATAGTTGGGCAAAGTAAACAATCTAATTCTTCTGAAATCGGTTACTTATAAAAAGCCATTTAAGGAGCTATTTTAAATCAGGACAATTGACCAATATTAAGCATCTTAATCCATTGAAATCCCACTATTTCTTTGTTTACCAGTGTTTACTCCCTGTCTCCTTTCCAGGAATGCATAGTCTAACCCAGGGGTCGGCAACCTTTGGCACACGTCCCACCAGGGTAATCTGCTGGCGGAGCACAAGACTTTTTATTTACATTGACCATCTGCAGGCACGGCCCCCTGAAGCTCCCTGTGGCCATAGTTCATCCTTCCTGGCCAATGGGAGTGGTGGGTAGCCACGGCCAACACGTCCCTGCGGCCCGCGCCGCTTCCCGCAGCTCCCATTGGCCGGGAACAGTGAACCGCGGCCACTGGGAGCTGCAGGGGGCCGTGCCTGCAGGTGGTCAAAGTAAACAAAATGTCTTGCGGCCCACCAGTGGATTACCCTGATGGGCCGTGTGCCGAAGGTTGCCGACCCCTGGTCTAACCATTTGGTGATTAACAGGAGAATCTGTTTGTCCTAAATTACAGCCGCATTTCCATTTCTCAACAAAATTATTATAAGATTTTTTAATTCTAATCCCTTGGTAGTGTTTTAGTTAACTTTCTCTCACCAATCCATGTTGAAGTATTGGGGAGGTTTTTCCTGGGTTGGTTTCCTCTTGAGTCTTCTCCGTTCTTTTTTCATCTGTCAGTAGCTTGCTTGTATAGATGGGCAGGATATGTTGTGGAGGGCATGCTGTTTAAGCAGGATAGCTGGGTGAAGGATGGATGGGGGGGGGCTCACTTCAGAGTTTTTTAATATCCTTCTTCCTGTTTCTAGGGAATTTTATGAAAACACACCTCTTTCAGACTTGCATAGATTCAAAGTTGGTTGCTCTCATTCTTTCATTGACTCCATGCCCTGGGGGCTTGGCTTAGGTGAAACCTTCAGCTCCTGATCATGCAGTCTGCCTAATGAACATGCAACACTATAATTGACCTTTGTTTTTTGTTGTTGTTGTTGTTTTGTTGTTTTTGTGGGGAGAAAGCATCAGATAATTTTAACGTTAATTTTAACTTTCTTTTTATTTAGTCCATTATGTGAGATAGTCATTCAATTTTATTGGCATTTGACAGGAAATGAAATTCTGATTTCAGAAATTCTGAACACAATTTTAACTATAATGAAAAGAAAAGTGTACTTAAGTCTAAATTTAAACGTAAAAGTTTTTAGTTCTCAAACCAGTCTTTTCAAGATTCAGGAATTCTTATTGTGTTTAGTCTAAATAGTTATTAAAGAAGTTGTTTATTCTTCATAACAACTTTTGGAGAGATGATGATTCTTGTCTTCCTGAATTGGTTGAGGGAGTTGTTTGATCATGCCAATTTAATTAGTTCCCCATTATTAGAAATATTCTATACTGTATTAGTAATTAGTTTAGCAAGGTCCTTAGATTTCAGGTTGGTATATAAAGCATTTTACCATTGACAATGATATTAGGAATTATATTAGGAGCTTTGCATTTAACTAACATAGTTGAAAGTCTGCATTTCACAAAGGTGTTTGTCATTTCAACATTTAAGAAAAGTTTAAAACATTTCCAACTACACACATTTTTCTCTAAAGTTTTAAGGACCACAAGTGGAGGTTTTTCTTTGAAAAAATGGGGTATAGCCTACTTTACCACTTAGATCTATTGCTCTGAAACACAACCCCCTACATTCCTTTTCACAATCAGGTCTTTTCCTAAGAAATGAATATTTTACATGGTTTGTTTTCTTGATGTGAGGATTTGTACCAAACTGGTATTTTATATAATGGGACGTGTCCTGGTTTAGATAAGACACTTTTGCTGAACCAGCATGTCGATCTTTAATATGTGCTCATGGTTAATGCCTGGCTTTGAGGGTAATAATTGTGAAATATTGCTCAACGGATGGAAAGGTTTTCTGGTGTTATGACTGTAATGCGCAAAGGCTAATTCAAAGGATTAATTCATTATTGATTTTCTTCTTTGAGTGATAGTCCCAACTGTATTCCACAGTGAGTTACACATGTGCACCATGTGCCTGGAGCCAGATATTTTGAAAGTAGTGTCCGCTGGTCTGCGCATGCATCCTGGCTCATCTTGTGCCTCTGACTGAGGGAATAAAGGTGGGGTGGATCGACCCCATTTCTCTTCCATTTCCTTCTCACCACCACATGGTACTGGTTGGAACCTTCAGTGTCTGCGGCTTGGGCTTTGTCCTACAAAATAAGAATTATCTAGTTTGTAAACAGTTTTAACAGTTAGAATTTTATAGTTCTTCAGTGTTTAGATTATTCTCCTGGGGGACCTCCTCCCCCATGCAACCCATTCAGGTACCGGACTATGCCGAGGACTCTGGGCTTCAGACTCTACGCTTCCTGTGTGCAGTCCTTCTCGGTCAACAAGAACCACGAGTGCTGCCTGTACTGCCTTGGGGAAGCTCACAATGCAGCAAGGTGCAATATCTGCCAATCATTCCCCAGCTGTGCACGAGAAGGGTGGGAACTTCATCTCTGCAAATACCTCATGGAGAAAGCCATGAGACCCCAATCAGACCCAAGCCAGGGAACTACCCCATACATCATCCTAATTCAGCAAGGAGCATGCCTCCTGCCGCAAGCTCCAACTGTGGTGTGGGAGAATCTACCCCTCACAGGTGGGATCTCATCAAGAAGCCAGGAAGCACTCTCATTAGCATGTGACTAAGTCTTCTTCTAACCACACTCCCAACTCACTGGTGATCCACACCACTTCTGAAAGTGCTAGACAGCAATATCCCCGGTCTACTCCCACTGACAAAGAAGGCAAATGCCTGGATCTGCTGGGGAGAAAAGTCTTCTCATCATCCAGCCTCCAGTTCAGAATAGCCAATTACCAGGCACTAATGCCAAGTTTACTGACAGAATTCTACAGCTAGACAGAGCTTGTTTCCAAGCTCTGATAGATGAAGGTAAACTGATAGCCAAGACTGCTCTCCAGAAGCTGCAGTCAATGGTGCTGATATCATCTAGAGCTATGGCTACTGCTGTCATCATGCTCAGGGAGTCATGGCTCCATGCACCAGGGCTCCCTAGAGAAGTCCAGAATACCATTGAGGACCTCCCCTTTGAATCACACCTCTTCAACCAGAAGATGGACAAGTCCCTATATGCCCTGAAGGACCCTAGGGCTACCCTGCACTCATTGGGAATAACTGCTGATCATTCAGATCTAAACATATGGCTCAGCAGTTTTCCCATCAGAGACTCTGTGAACTACCACATAAGAGACAAAGAGTTCAAAAATCCTGCTTCCTCACACACACTGCAACAGGCTCTGCATCCCAACCTCAACCTCTGGCTTGACATTATTTTTGATGGGAGCTTGAGAACCACAAAACATTAAGCACAACGCTCCCAAGCCCCACACACCATTTGGGAGTCATCTAGTACTCTTTTTCAACACTTGGAATGCAATAACAACAGACACGTGAATGCTGAACGTCATCCACTCTGGGTATATGACAGAATTTGCATCCCTACCGCCTCCAAAATACCCTCCCCGTCCCTCTTCAGAGGCTACTCTCACAAGAGTATTCTCAAACAAGAGTTGAACTACTTGTTGCAGTGAGGAGCGATAGAACATGTCCTTCCTCAATACCAAGGGAGAGGGCTTTACTCAACTTACTTCCTAGTACCCAAAAAGAAGGGCAGTTGGAGACCAATCCCAACTTCTGCCAGCTCAACCACTTCATTCCCAAGCTCAGTTTTTGCATGGTCATGTTGGCCTCTATAATCCTATCTTTAGAAAAGGGCATGTGGTTCATGGCTCTCAATATGAAGGATGCCTACTTTCACATAGACATTCATCCCGCTCACAGACGATTCCTTGGATTCATGGTGGGCGCCGAACATTTTCAGTACAGAGTACTACCCTTTGGAATAGAGAGTCTTTACCAAGATATTCTCAGTAGTAGCAGCCCATGTCAGATGTTGTGGGCTCATTGTCTTTCCCTATCTCAATGACTGGCTTCTTGTTGCCAAATCCTGCCAGCATGCCTATGCATCAACTTCCATGATGCTA